TCTCTGTTTTCAAGACTTGACCTACCCCAGCCTCCGTCTTCCGGCAACAGTGAAGAAGCTCAAGCAAGAGCACCTGCAACGGCAACAGGTCTGCGATGTGGTTCTCGTCGCTGCACAGTTGTGGGTCATTGGCCATCCGTTTCTTCTTACGTTGCCGCGCTCCGCCCGCCAACCCTGCCACGCCCTCGCCCGTTGTGACCAGATCATCATTGGAGAGGTCAAGGGAGGATGGATAATTTCCAACACCCCCCGGAACCCGGAACAGGCTTGGTTGGCTGACTTGTTTCATCTTAATTAATTGCAGTAAAGAGCTGCATCCTCGCGGATACGGTGCTCGCAAAGTGGAAAGTGGAAAGTGGAAAGTAAGTAAATTAAACTTTTTTAGCTGCCTACTAAGAAACCCAATAAGCCCAAAAAAAGGTAAGGATCTCAAGTTACGGTAAAGTACCACAAAGCAGAGAAGCTTTTGAGGGGTTTAGGGTTCAAGGAAGGACGCACTTAGGACAGGGTTTGGGGTTCAGGGTTTGGGGTGTTAAGGGTTAAGGGTTAAGGGTTTGGGGTTTTAAGGGTTAAGGGTTTGGGGTTTTAAGGGTTAAGGGTTTAGGGTTTGGGGTTTGGGGTTTTAAGGGTTAAGGGTTTGGGGTTTGGGGTTTAGGGTTTAGGGTTTAGGGTTTAGGGTTTAGGGTTTGGGGTTTGGGGTTTGGGGTTTGGGGTTTGGGGTTTGGGGTTTGGGGTTTGGGGGGGCTCCAAGGTGCAAGGGTTTTGGTGTTTTGGGTTTCAGTGCCTTGGGGTTTTGGATCTGCGGGCCTTGGGGTTTTAGGGTCTTAGGGGACTATCTAGGGTTTCAGGGTCGTTAGGGTTCTTGGGTCTTTTGGGTCGTTAGGGTCTTGTGGGGTTTCAGGGTGAGACCCTGAATTCTGAAATCCCTCTAAACGCCCGCCTTAAGAAGACTCAAGCTCTCCGCCGACCCAGAATCCCCCCCCCCCCCCAACCCTAAACCCTAAACCCTAAACCCTAAGCCCTAAACCATAAACCCTAAACCCTAAACCCTCCCCCAAAACCCGCAAGCTTCTTAAACCCGCAAACCGGTTCCCTACGATTCCGTACACCCTAGACCCTAAACCCGAAACTCTACACCCAAAACTCTAAAACCGAACCCGAAACTCTGCGGCTGAGGTTGCGGCTGCCTCCGAGTTCAGCTGCTTCTCGAACCTTGGGGGTTTAGGGTGGGGGGGGAGTTCCGGGTTCAGGGTATCAAGGGATGAAGGCTTACAGGGTTCGGAGCCTGAGGAACTCGGGTTTTCGGGCTCGGCATGGCTCGGAAGCCGCATCATGCTTGCCAACCGTGCGACCGGTAGCATGCAGGCGTTGTATAGCGTTAAACCCTAAACCCTCATCCCTACACCCTAAACTTTACACCTAAGTAAGTGTGTAGGAAAGTTTGGGATCCAGGGCTGGCTTCATAAGGTTCAGGATACCATGGCCCCAAGGAGGAGAACGCACACACTGCAATCCCTAAACCCCTCAAAAACCACACCACGTTCCAGAGCGACAGCCTGGGGGTTCTGCTTCGGGGTTACCCTAAACCCTAAACCCTAGACCCTAGACCCCAAACCCCAAGCCCTAAGCCCTAAGCCCTAAACCCTAAGCCCACACCCTTGTCAAAGTTAGGGATTCGGTCTTGAAAGGGGTGGGGGGGGGGGGGGGGGCCTACACCCTAAACCCTAAAACCCTAAGCCCTAAGCCCTTGTCAAAGTTAGGGATTAGGCCTTGAGTGGGGGGGGGGGGATAAACCCTAAACCCTAAACCCTAAACCCTAAACCCTAAACCCTAAACCTTCCTCAAAGATCCCAAGCTCCAGTGCGAGAACCGAGCTCGCGGCTGATCCCAGGTCGGGCCAAACATCCTCCAGGGCTCGAGTCTAGGGGTCCAAGTATGGGCCCTTAAAATTGGATTTAGGGTTTAGGGCTCAGTACGTATATAGGCTTTAAGCCCCAAGTATTCCCTATTAAGGTACATGGACCCTCAGGGCTAAAATCTAAACCCCAACAAGCCCGGAAGTACTTTGCTGAAGCCCCTGAAGTCGGGGTTTAGGGTTTAGGGTTTAGGGTTTAGGGTTTAGGGTTTAGGGTTTAGGGTTTAGGGTTTAGGGTTTAGGGTTTAGGGTTTAGGGTTTAGGGTTTAGGGTTTAGGGTTAAATGCTTAGGGCTTTGGGCTTAGGGTTTGGGGTTTAGGTCCCAAGGCCTGCAGTGTGGACACCAGTCGGCGTAGAAGTTGACCTCGGGCTTGGAGCGATTTATTCTCCGTTTGGGGTTTAGGGTTTAGGGCTTAGGGGTTTAGGGTTTAGGGTTTAAAGTTTAGGGTTTAGGGTTCCCTAAATGAATGTCCTTCTGGTAGAGCCTGCTTGTACCCAGAAAGGACCAGATTTGCGAGAACTGCCTAGGTCTGCTTCAGGTTCCCTGATGATGAACACATCCCGCCAGAAGTGCTTCTACCTTTTCCCGCCAGTTGAGAGAGAGCTTAGGGCTTCCCTGAAGAACCCCAAAGCCTACTTTTGTATAGGTTGCCGAAGAATCCGATAATACAGAAAAGTAGGTCATGGGTTCTTTAGGCAGGGGTCTAGGGCTTAGGGCTTAGGGTTTAGGGTTTAGGATTTAGGGTTTAGGATTTAGGGTTTAGGATTTAGGGTTTAGGGGTCAGGGGCTTAGGGTTCTGAAGCTCAGGCAGATCCAGGCGAGAGTGCTGCGACAAGGGCCATCCGATGCCGTCAACAGGCACCTTCACTTCCCAAGATTGCTTTGAGCCCCTCTTTCATTTCGGGTTTAGGGTTTAGGGTTTAGGATTTAGGGTTTAGGGTTTAGGGTTTAGGGTTTAGGGTTTAGGGTTGCCTCATGGAGGTGCTTCCGCGCACCTCCCGCGCGGCACGCGCCAGCAGGGGAAGCGCCAGGCACTGCAACTAGGCTAGCCTGGATGGTCTCTGCGGCTCGGCTTCTCCCCGTCCACAGCAGGAGGCTGGATCTGCGCTTTCGACGCGCTTCGTCGGTGAACTGCTAGGTGCCCCTTTCTTCTTCTGGACAAGGGTTAAGGGTTTAGGGTTTAGGGTTTAGGGTTTAAGGTTTAGGGTTTAGGGTTTAGGGAACAACCTGGCAAACAGTCTGCGAGTACGTACCAAGAGGTATTGGAAAGCGAGGCAACAGTAGGGTCGAGGGATCTCGGGCGTTTGAGCTTGTTGGACACTCGGAAACTGGGGAAAAAGGGAGTACATGGTATAGAGTTGGCATTTAGGGTTTTGGCTGATTGGATTTTGGGGCTTAGGGGTTTAGGGTGGGCTCAGGGGTTTGATAGGTGTTGGGGTGCAACGCAGCAGACTTCGGAGATTTCGACGCCCCAACGACGAATTCCAGCACATCGACCCCCGAACCTCTGAAGGGGTCTCCCAACATCCTGTAGGGTTTAGGGTTTAGGGTTTAGGGTTTAGGGTTTAGGGTTTAGGGTTTCGGGTTTAGGGTTTAGGGTTTAGGGTTTAGGGTTTAGGGTTTAGGGTTTGGGGTCTGTACGCCTCTTAGGGCAGCGACCTGGGGGCTTCCGAGAGTCGGGGTACCTTATTGGGGTCCTCCTTTTCAGGGAATCCGACTCTTTGGGGGTCTATTTTAGGGGATCCCCTGTGTTCGTACATTCCCACATGCAGGGGCCCTTACATGGGGACTCCTTATATACCCCTTATACCCACGGGCCCCTACTTCAGAACCCGCTGGATGAGGTAAGGGACCAAATTCGGGGACCATGTAGCTACCCGTAGACTTAGGAATCCCAAGCTAGCTCGGAATCCTATAGAGGGGTTTTCTAGTGATAACCTACAAAACGGTAGGTTTCGGGTTCTTAAGGTAGGGTTTCCTAGGTAACTACCCTTAGATAGGCCCGAAGCTCCCGAGGCCTAAAGTCACACACCCTGAAGCCCCTACACACCTAAGCTCCTGCATCCGAAACCCTAAACTCTGAACCCTGGACCCTGAACCCTGAACCCTGAACCCTACCCTTCATCCGGGGAACGTGACCCACAACATCAGCCGAGTTTCGAAGGTGTAGTCGTGGGCATCGACCACCTGCGGCTTCGGCCACGCAGCTCAAATGGCTTTAGGGCTTTAGGGCTTTAGGTTTGAGGGTGTTAGGGTGTTAGGGTCTTAGGGTCCTAGGGTCCTAGGGTCTTAGAGTCTTAGGGTCTTAGGGTCTTAGGGTCTTAGGGTCTTAGGGTCTTAGGGTCTTAGGGTTTTAGGGTTTGGGGCTTTAGGGTTTAGGGTTTAGGGCTTAGGGTTTGGTATTCAGGGTTTAGGGGGCATCTTGCCTCAGGGCCCAACTTAGAGGAAGTTCTATGTCGGGATATGACTACGAAAACCCATCTCAGGGTACTTGTGGCTGAAAACCGTAAAATCTGATGTAAACAGTAAACCCAAGTCCTAAACCCCGTGTAGCTGCAAGTCGTGGTATAGCTAAAAGGGCCTATGCACCGCAAAACACCCCATGAACCCTCTCAGAAACCCGATGCCCTAGACTCTACTGCCCCCCCTCCCCGCACCTCTTGCCTCTTCCCTAAAACCCTAAACACCCACCGCGAGCTTCTAGCCAGCTCCTGGAGACGCCCTGAACTGAAGTGTCCGGTTGGAGCATGGAAACTGACACAACCCAGAGCTGCGGTTTAGGGTTTACTTGAAGCTTCATGGGACTTAATAACCACTTATAACTGGGCTTATAACCCTACTTATAATTGGGATAACCCCTATAAGGCCCTTTAGGGGTATTATAAGTAGGGTTATAAGTACAGTTCTAATTGGTTAGTAAGTACCATGAACCTCCAAGTAGGGCTTGGGGTAGATGGAGCCACAGGCTTTTGGAGGGTTGTTCGCCTACGTCCCTAGTGACCCAAAACCTACCCCTGGAACATGACATCTGCATACGTCGAACAACGACTCCACCCGTATCATTTGCCGACACGTTTCTTCGATCTAAGCCTCCTCCGCATGTGAATATCTCTCATGATTCTTCCGCGCCAGGACGGAGCCCAATTCCTTGCTGCAGTATTTTGCAGAGCCTGTTGAGATTGCCCGGGCCCCGACAATCCGGTTGCTGCTGCGGCAGGTCACAAGACCGATACTCTGTCTGGCATTTTGGGCAGATTAACCCCCATGCCCTAAGCCCTAAGCCATAACCCTAAACCTGATAAACCCTAAACCCCAAACCCTAAACCCCAAACCCTAAACCCTAATCTCGGCCCCGCGGGCGGCTGGCTCTGGAGGTTCTGGTGGCGGGCAGAGGGGAGGGAGGGGGTACCTTTGGCTTCGGGGGGGCTTATCCTAAAGCCTCACAACCCCAAGCCCCAACTAAACAAAACCCTAGACCTTTTGTAGGCATAGAGGGTTTAGGGTTTAGGGTGTATGGTTTGGGGTTGGGTTTGAGGTTTAGGGTTTAGGGTTTCGGGTTTAGGGTTTAGGGTTTAGGGTTTAGGGAAGCCCTGGAGAAGGGGTGCAAAAACAGCGCTGAGGCTGGGGACCGACTCGAAGCTGTCGTGCTTGAACTGATCGCTGGAAGAGCTCCTCGGGCCACTTCTGAGGCGCCCAGGGTTTAGGGTTTAGGGTTTTAGGGTTTTAGGGTTTTAGGGTTTAGGGTTTAGGGTTTAGGGTTTAGGGTTTAGGGTTTAGGGCCCCTTTTACTACCGTCTGCTTAACCAGGGCCCCCGAAAAAGTAAACAATGAGTTTGCTTAATGGCCCTACAGAAAATAACCCAAGGAAGAATATTTGGGTTTCGACCCCTGAACCGCAAAACCCTGAAAGGCTTAGGGTAAACTTTAGCCGAACAGGGTAAACTTGAACCCATGTAACCCCTAAATCCCCAAAACCCCAAAACCGAGCCTCGGGTTAAGGCTTGCGTGCTTCGGGGCTTGGGTCCTGGGCCAGGGAGGTTCCGCTGGAGTCAAGAAAGGCTTTGAAGCTTGGCATTTAACCCTGAACCCGATACCCTTATACCCTAACCCCTAAACCAGATAAACCCTGCAAAACCTATAAACCCTAAAGCCTAGACCCCAAAAACCCTACAAACCTTACAAACCCTAAACCCTAGACCCCCCAAAGAAACCTTTCGAACCTTCAACCCCCTACCCCCGAAACACCCCTGACACCCGAAACAACCCAAGAGCCCGAAGCCTAACTTAGCTTTGGAGTAGACCCTGGAAAAAAGTATATAACCCAGAACAAAAAAAGTATTAAAGTATAGTACTCCAAAGCCCAGCTAAAGACAAACCATGCCAAGGCCGGGGCCCAAAGCCAGCCCAAACCCTAAACCTTGAACAGCCCAAACACCCCAAAAAACACTAAAAACCCTGCAAACCCTAAAAAACCCTAAAACCCTTAAAACCCTAAAACCACCCCCAGTTAACAAAAAGCAAAAAAAAAACTGAACCCCAAACCCTACGCCCGGCCAAGGCCGGGGCCAATCCGAGTCCAGCTCTGCCTTGTCCTCGGCGGTCAGCGTCCTGCGCCCCGTGACTCGGTTGGCCCCCGAAACCCGAAACCCTAAGCCCTAAACCCTAAACCCTAAACCCTTAGCCCTAAACCCTAAACCCTGAACCCTGAACCCTCTGAAAAAACATCCGACATGGTGGTTTCCGGAATTAGGGGTGTCTTGTTGGGGGTCCTCATTTTTAGGGAATACTACTATTTGGGGGGGTCTATTTTCGGGGTCCCCTATTTTCGTAAACCCCGAAACCGGATCTTTTCAAATTCTTTAAACCCTAAACCTGAATAGGATCCTCTTCAACGCAAGACTGGGAGGATATATCGTATCCCAAGCACCTAACCAATCGTGGAGTTGAGAGGCTGTGGGTTGAGGGGGTTCAGGGTTTTACTAAGCTAGACCCAAGCGTAACCTACGAATAAAAGGGTACCCTTTCTGGCTGGGTCCTAGTTCAGGGCTTCTAGGAGGGCGTAGAGAGATTTTGCTTGGAACGGCGTATGAACCAAGAGCCCGGGAGGCAAGGTTGTATTTCCCTGCCGCGTCTCGCAACGCGGTTTTAGGGTTTAGGAGGGTTCAGGGTTTAGGGTTTAAGAGGGTTCAGGGTTTAGGGTTTAAGAGGGTTCAGGGTTTAGGGTTTAGGAGGGTTCAGGGTTTAGGATCTAGGGTGTAGGGTTAAAGGTTCAAGGTTTAGGGTGCAGGGGTTAGTTTAGGGCTTAGGGTTCAGGGACCCCTAGACGAGAGCCGCAGAACTCCCGCGCCCCCGTACTCTGAACGATGGAACCTCACCGTACAGGCTCAAACACTAAACCCTGAACCCTGAACCCCAAACCCTAAACCCTAAACCCTAAACCCCAAACCCTAAACCCCAAACTTTCGAACCCTGAACCCCACAGACCGAACCCTAAGCTGCAAACCCAACACCCCTCAGCGCAGAACTAAAACCCTCAATCCTCAACCCTGGGGCCCGAACGCTGAACCCTTCTACCCTGCCCTAGGTTAGGGTTTAGGATTTAGGGTTCAGGGTTTAGGGTTTATAGGGTTCAGGGTTTAGGTTTAGGGTTTAGGGTTTAGGGTCTAGGGTCTAGGGTTTAGGGTTTAGGGTATAGGGTTTAGGGTTTAGGGTTTAGAGTATAGGGTTTAGGGTTTAGGGCCCCTAAATTGAGCGCCGGACTTATCGGAGTAGTCGAGCTCCAACAGCTCGTCGTCGGTGTACGCGTGCCCTTTCTCGGCCCTGGCAGCGGGCTCCCAGGTCGTTTGGGTGTGGTTTTTGTTTAGGGTTGACGGTTTAGGGTTTAGAGTTTATGGTTTAGGGCAGGGTGTGAGGTTAAACACCCAAAAAGAGGTACCCCTGGTTTCGGCAACCCCATGTAAAAAACTGACCTGGGTCATCCCTGAATCGCCAAATCCTCAACTCAGTTCGAGGAAGGGGGGGAGGGGGTGTGAATTACGGGCTCAACCCTGCAACCCTTGAGCCCCTTAACCCATGGTGCTTCCCGCATGATCCTGGCTGCCCACGCCTAAACCCTAAGCCCTGAGCCCTTTAACCCTAAACCCCAAACCCCAAAACCCTAAACCCTAAACCCTAAAACCCTAAAACCCTAAAACCCTAAAACCCTAAAACCCAAAAACCCTGAAACCCTGAAACCCTAAAACCCAAAAACCCAAAAATCCTAAAACCCTAAAACCCTAAAACCCTAAAACCATAAAACCCTAAAACCCTCAACCCTCAACCCTGCACGCCCTTAAACCTTAACCCTCAACCCTAAACCCTCAACCCTAAAACCCTAGAACCCTAAACCCTCAACCCTGCACGCCCGTAAAACAAAACGGGATAGCCAGAGGGGCCCCTTGTCCCAAACCCTAAACCCTAAACCCTAAACCCTAAAGCCAGAGGGGCCCCTTGTGATCGATCCGTTGCTTTTGGATGTTCTTGGTGATGTTCATTCGATCGCTGCCGAACCTGGGCTCTGGGGCTTGGGGTTTAGGGTTTAGGGTTTAGGGTTTAGGGTTTAGGGTCTAGGGTTTAGGGTTTAGGGTTCGTAAACCCCCAAAAAAATTCGGGATTACCTGGCGCCCGGCGCCTACCTACTTACACTGGCCCCCATGTGGGAGTGGTTCGAGATTGGGCTTTAGGGTTCGAACTGGTTTAGGGACCCAACCTCCTGCCATGTAAAGGTGCAACAAAGATACTCTGCGGGATTCCTGGAGGGGACTCTCGGCCTGCACAACCCTAAACCCCTACCTTAACCCTAAGCCCTAAGCCCTAAACCCTAACCCTAAACCCTAAGTCCCAAAGCTCCTCAGACCCCAAGCCTGGGCTGGGCCAAGGCGCGCATCCCACACCCCCACAGTCACGTGATCGCAGGCCATATCGAGCCTGGGAACTGTTCTCCGGGGGCGGGAGGAGAAAGGGGAGCTGTGGGGTGTAGGGATGAAGGTGTAGGGATGAATTAGGGTTTAGGGCGGAGGGTTTAGCGGCTAGGGATTCGGGACTTGAGTTTAGGGGTTCGGGTCTAGGCATTCGGACTTAGAGAACAGGGTTTTTGAAGTTTAGGGACTAGGGATTCGTGTTTAGGGGTTTAGGGTTTAGGGGTTCACAGGGCTTAGGGTTTTACGATTTCGGGTAGGACTCTAAGAGCAGGCTTGCTTGCCAGGTTACGAGCAGGGGGGTTTTGGATCCGCCTCGGGGTGTAAGGATGAGGCTCCTAGACCCTTACTGGGGTGGGGGGCCCTGAAACAAAATGGAATTAGGGTTTCGGGTTTAGGGTTTAGGGTTTAGGGTTTAGGGTTTAGGGTTTAGGGTTTAGGGTTTAGGTAAAGAATGGCCACGTGGCCATGCAGGAGAACCTGGCCCCACGGGATAGTGCTGGGAAGCACAACTTGGTGATCCTTCGCACACGTCTCCAGGCAACATGGCCACACGATGCGATCCTCGCCGCTGGCCATTTGCTTTGGTGTACCAGTTGCTTGTATAGCAGGGTTTAGGGTTTAGGGTTTAGGGTTTAGGGTTTAGGGTTTAGGGTTTAGGGTGGACCAGAAACCCTTTCGATTGCCACCTGACGCTCCGGTGAGAGAGGTACCTTGATCCTCGTCCAGGTCCTCCCAGGTCTTCGGAGGGAGTGAAGCATAGTTGAGATACTCCTCCTCCTCCTCCCTGTGAACAAGGCGCAAGCCCCTTAACCACAGCAAGCCATGCTTCGAGACTTGGGAATCCCTAAACCCTAAACCCTAAAACCTAAAGCCTAAAGCCAAAACCCTAAACCCTAAGCCTTCAACCCGAAAAGGGGGATCTTCGGGCGTAGGAGGTTTACGGCCTGTTTTTTGTCAAGGGAAGTGAAGGGTTGGGGCTTTTCAGACCTTGAAGGTTTACAGAGCATTACCCTACTTTGTAGACCCTGGAAAAAGGGTATATACTTTTTTGGTATAAGTAGCTAGAATAGGAACCCAGGACCAAAAACACTAAAGTATTACTAAAAAAACCCATTTTATGAAGGGATTTGAAGGGTTTCGTTGAGAAAGGGCTTCGGCTTGAAAAAGCTTGCTTAAAAGAGGGCTGAAACTAGGCTTCCGATGGTGTCTACAGCCTCAAGGGCTTCTACTGCAGGGTTCGAGATTTGGCGCCGGGGGGTGAGGATGGGGGTGGCCTAGCTAACTATCCTAAACCGAAACTGCCCCAAGCCCCAAACCCTAAACTTGGGATGTTCCGCCTGAAACTAACAGTCCTGAGTAGGGATGATAGTACCCCCTAATTATCATCCCCATTAAGGACTGTTCGTCTAAGGGGGAGCATCCCAAGCTACAACCCGTAAACATGGCCGTTTCGGGGGCTAGGGGGTGGGGTTTCGGGTTTGGGGTTTAGGGTTTGGGGTTTCGGGTTTGGGGTTTAGGGTTTGGGGTTTAGGGTGTGGGGTTTAGGGTTTGGGGTTTGGGGGTTAGGGCTGGGGGGCTGATCCCTTGTCGAGAAGCATGGTCACATCGAAGTTGATGGTCAGCATTGAGTCCTGCAGAAGTGAAATGGTTGGGGCGTGGGGCGGAAGAATCTGCTTCTTAGGGTCAATCAAGGGCCCCACCCTAAAAGCCAAAAGACCGCAACCCCTCTGGACCCAAGAACCCTAAACTCTGCAAACCTTAAGGTTCTAACCCTCGACCCAAAACCATCCAAAACCTTTAAACCCTAGACCCAAAAAAACACCTACTTTAAACCCAAAATCAAACCTGGAAAGCCCCTTATATGCCTACATCATGAGCTTATAACTGCAAGATGGAACAGTTGGCCTATAGCACCTTAGGAAAACGTCTTTTTGGGAGATAGGGGCTTGCCTCACATCTCTAAACCCTAAACCCTAAACCCTAAACCCTAAACCCTAAACCCTAAACCATGTAAAAATCTGCATCCTGGGTTGTCCTGGGTCTACTTTGGACAGGCATGGCCAAAGGCAAACCATGCTTTTTGAAGAGTTTTTCCCAAGGGCATCCCGTATTCCCAATAACCATTTACCTGGAACCGTTGGGAAGGCCTTAGGGCTCTTTCGGGGCCCTTAAGGTCCCGGTTAGGGTCTAGAGCCCCCTAAACCCTAAACCTTAAACCCTAAACCCTTCACCCTAAACCCCTAAACCCTAAACCTTAAACCCTAAACCCTGAGCCCTTTAGAGGGTTGTCCTGGTTGCTGTCCAGTGATACGTCTGTCCGCCGCTCAGACCGGAGGAAGGCGTTGGTCTCGCAAATGAACAAGACCACCTGGTTCGGGTTGAGAAGGGGGGGGGGGGGGTTGGGGTTCAAGGTGTGGGTTTGGGGTTTGGGGCTTAGGGTTTGGGGTTTAGGGTTTAGGGTTTTGGGTTTAGAGTCAGCTTTTGGAGGTCATTTGCTTGGGGGCTTGTCGAAGGATGGTGTTAGAAGAGGGGGAGGAGGGTTTGGGGTTTGGGGTTTAGGGTTTTGGGGCTTAGGGTGTAGGGTTTCGGGCTTAGGGATGCCCACGGGCATCAAAAATGCCAACCCCAATTAATTACGGTTTGGGGATAACAGTAGGGCGTGGCGTGTGTCTGGTGTGCTGTATGTATGCACACACATTCTTGCATACGTGCTTCTCTCTCTGCCTACTTTCGCATCCATCTGTCGATCTACCCGGAATCCCAAACCCTAGCCCTAAACCCTACATCCTAAGCCCTAAGCCCCAAACCCCAAATCCTAAATCGTCTAAACCCTACACCCTACACCCTAAACCCTAAACCCTAAATCCTAAACCCTAAACCCCAAGCCCCAAACCCCGCAGCCACCGGAAAACAGCCCTCCTGGGTGCCCCCGCGCACGTCACCACTGCCACCAGCGTCATCACCGCGCCGGTGGCGCTGGCCTGCCCAGGGGGCGCGGAACCCAAACGGCCCGGTTTAGGGTTTAGGGTTCAGGGTTTAGGGTTTAGGGTCTAGGGTTTAGGGTTTAGGGTTGAGGGTTTAGGGTAACTATATAAACCCTACCATGGCGACCCTACGCCGGCCTAAGCCCGAAACTTAAACCTAAAACCCTAAACCCTAAATCCTAATCCTAAACCCTGAAAACTCCAACCCTCAACCCCCCAAAGCCCGAACCGTACATACAGGAGAAACTACAGCCTTTCCATTAACAAAATGAAAGCTTGGGGCTGGCTACGTCTTTTTATTCAGAAAACCCGGAACCTAAAAAGGCAGAAAAAGGGAGCACAACTCCACCAAGCTGCCAAGTTCTGGGGCAACCGAAACCTTAAGACCCCAAACCTAAACCCCAAACCCTAAACCCTAAACCCTAACCCCAAACCTAAACCCGAAACCCTAAACCCCAAACCTAAACCCTAAACCCTAAACATCCCTAAACCCGAAACCCTCAACCCCAAACCTGAACCCTAAACCCTTATAAACCCTAAACATCCCTAAACCCTAAACTGGAAACCTGGAAGGTTGGCCTCCGCAAGGTCCTTGGGCACCGTGCGAAAGGCATCGATGCCCGCGGCCCATCTGGGTGGGGGGTTGGGTGGTGGGGGTTTAGGGTTTAGGGTTTAGGGTTTAGAATTTCATGGTTTCTTGGGGTTTCGAGTTTCGGGGTTGCGGTCTAAGTTTTGGCATTTAGGGCTTATGAGTTCTGAGTCTAGGTCCTGGTTTCGTCACGCAAGGCCTTGGAGGGTTTTAGTCTTCGGGCCTTTCGCAGTTTAGGGCCGCTAGGGTTCGGGGCTTCAGGGGGGCTTGAGAGTACTCCAGGAGAGCGAAGGCGCTCATCTTCCGTAATGGGAAGCTGCGTAGCCAGTCTGAGATCCTAAACCATAAGCCCTAAAAGTGCAGTACAGAGTGGAGCCCTTGCTCCTGAGGAACACTCCTACTCTTACTCCTGCTCCTACTCCTACTCCAAAGGGTAAAACCCGATTTGACACCCCCAAACATCCGACCCACCAAGCGGGCTGTGTGGCAAGAGTCTCCTTAAAACCGAGCTGATGGCAGTTCTAACAATGACAACAACTAACTGACACGAATAGCTATGTTCAAAAAATGCCCCACTTCCATCATCCTCTTCATTTAGGGGCCAACTGAATCAATCCTAAACCCCGAAACCTTGTGGAGTGGTTTAGGGTTTAGGCTGCAGGCCCTGCTCAGAAACTTCCTGGGGGGGGGGGGGGGGGGGCCCTAAACCCTGTCACGTCACGAGTTCAAGCAAACGGGTTTGGGATGTAAGGTTCTGAAGTTTGTGGGTCGGGTGGACTCAAGGGCAAGGGAGTCGCCCACATGGGGGTTTACGAACATAAAGGACCCTGAAGATAGACCCCCACATGGTAGGATTCCCTGAAAATAAGGACCCCCAATAAGGTACCCGTAATTTCCTAAACCCTAAACCCTAAACCCTAAACCCTAAACCCTAAACCCTAAACCCTTAACCCTAAAGACCCTAAACCCTTTCATGGGCCTGGGCGGCCCCATTGCCAACTGAGGAAGAGAGCCTTCGTCTGGCTTTGGCCTCAGAGGCAAAGGTGCGTAAGCCCTAAAAACTCCAAACCTCCATTTCTCTTCGGGTAGTTCCACGGTCCCTCCATCTGGGCCCTGAGATGCCTCAAATGGGGACCTCTTCTATGCCCTATAAAGACCCAATGCCCAAGAGCCCATACTTCAGAACCCTTGAAGAAGGTAAGAGACCACGTTACGGATCATGTAGCCGTATTTCGAATGCCCCCTAAGTCTGCACTAAAGCCATACGCCCAAAATCAAAACCCCAACCCCCACAAGCCCTGCCCAGGAGGCCCAAAACCAGGAATTGGGGGGGGACGAAACAGCCAGGATTTCTTTTGAGGCTTCCCTTGACCCAAGAGAAACCTAAAGCCTTCTTGGTTTGAGGATGTTTGAGGGGCTGGCTTTTCAGAGAACCTGGCAGCTCGGCTATACATCAAGCTACAACTGGGATAATGCAGGGTTTAGGGTATGGGGTATACCCAACATACCATACTTATGACCTTCTACCCCGACTTGAAAGCTACTTGCTAAGTTCCCTGGCCCTTCAAGAACCTTTCCCCCCCCCTCCCCCAACGAATCACCCAGGGCACTCTGAACGCCATAGGATGAACGCACGGCTGCCGCGCACGAAAGGATGACATTTTAAAAGAAACCCTGAGCCCCAGACCCAAACCTCAAACCCTAGGCCTGACCAACTTTAGGGTTTAGGGTTAAGGGTTTAGGGTTTTGGGTTTATAGGCTTTAGGGTTTAGGGTTAAGGGTTTTGGGTTTTGGGTTTAGGGTTTAGGGTGCCGTCTTAAGCTGAGGGACGACCCTGCGCCGCCGCAAAGCGCTGGCAAAGCGTGGCAGGAGGCGGCCGCACCGGACAGGAAAACACGCGTGGGACTACGGGGGGGGCCACAAGGTGCTGCTTCCGCGCGTGCTTTCGGGATTTCTGGTGGGGGCTACTTTACCCCTTTACCTACAGTTTTTTAGGGGCTCTGCCTCTTTATTAAGGGGTAGTTTACTACTGAACTGTAGGGAATTGGGGTTACAGTTCGGGGCGCAGGATCTCGGGATGTAGGAGCTCACGGAGACTTCTGTGGGAAGACTGGGCACCGTCCTACGCGCTTGCAATGGCTCTGAACCTGATCAAGTAACAAGAACTAGGTGTTTTGAGCATGTCGCACCGAAAACGTCTCGAAACCTTATAGCACCCCCCCAAAACCTCGAGAAGATTTTGAGTCTAGGACTTCTTGTGTCTGCTTCTGTGCTGCGACAGCTGCTGCCCATGGAATGGAAGACGGCTCCGATGTGCTCCCGTACCCCTAAACCCCTAAACCCCTAAAACCCCTAAAACCCCTAAAACCCCTAAAACCCCTAAAACCCCTAAAACCCCTAAAACCCCTACATCCCTAAAGGCCCTAAACCCCTAAAACCGCTAACACCCTTAAAACCCCTAAAACCCCTAAAGCCCCTAAACCCGGAAACCCCAAGCACCCCAAACCCTCCAATCCTCAACCCCGATGGGGTTGGGGGCTTCTCTTCTGGCAACGCGGCTTTAGGACAATATCGGGTTTCGGTTTCGGGCTTAGGGGTTTGGGGTTTAATAGGGGTTTCTCAAGGGCCTATAGGGGTTTAGGGGGTTTTGGAAGTGGGGATTGTTGGTCAGGGGTCAGGGTTTTAGGGTTTTGGGGTTTTGGATTTGGGGGTTTCTCCCGGGCCCTGAACACACCCCACCCCTTCCTCCCCTGAACCCGACCCTACCTGCATAACCCCAACCAAAACACATTGAAAGGCCATGAGAGGCATCCGAACCTCCATAGCCCCCACCTTCCCAAAGCAGCAAGCGCCTAAACCCCTAAACGCTTAAATCTTTACAGCCCTACTCCTATACACCCCAACCATCCCCAATCCGAAGCCCTTGAAACCTACACCTAAAACCTCCAGCGCGACAAGTCAACAACAGAAACCCCAAAGCCTAAACCTCAAGATGGGAGTTTCCGAAATTAGGGGTACCTTATCGGGGTCCTCATTATCAGGGAATCCTGCTATTTGGGGGTCTAAATTTGGCTTAAAGTTGGCTTAGGGCTCGGGGTCCGTGGGGAACCCTAAACCCAAACAAACCCAAAACACCAAACCCCTAACCCAGCTAAACCCGAAACCCGAAACCCGAAACCCCAACCCAGCTAAACCCCAAACTCGGGCCGTAAAGCCCGAAATTATCGTCCCAGTTTTGGGCTTGGGGTAGGGTGCAACCGACGATCAACTATCATTTTTTCGCCTTCCCCCCCCCCCTGACAACCGCTGCGGTGACCTCTCAAAACAACACATGCTTTTATTGCATAGGCCGACCCTCCTACCACTGCGCAACATGAACCCTACAGGCTAAATTTTGCATCCCGAACCCTGGGCTGCTCCCTGAAGCCCCAAGTCCCGAAACCCCGCACCCTGATTCCCGAAGCTCAAGCCCCCTATGTTCGTAAACCCTATAAACCTAAACCCTAAACCCTAAACCCTAAACCCTAAACCCTAAACCCTAAACCCTAAACCCTAAACCCTAAACCCTAACCCTAAACCCTAGAAAGAGCTTGCGGCGCTGTAGAAGCCTCCTGGGGGGGGGGCAAGAAGGGGCCTGGGAGAGCTTCTCGGACAAGCGGCGCTCCTGGCGGATGGCGTCCTGAACTCTCTGGCCCGGCATAGGGCTTTCGTTGATGTTCAACAGTCCTTCTTAGGGATTAGAATAGGGGGGGGGGGGGACACTATACTCCCTAGTAAGGACTGCTAACATTTCAGGGAACATCCTAAGGTTTTCGCTTCGACGTTTCGGCCCGGAAATTTTTGAGTGGCCGGGTGCAGGATCGGCCCAAAACGAAACGTCACGCCATATAAAGCCCTCCTAGCCCTGGGGCTAACGTGCTTTGGGGTGCAGGCTTGCTGCTTGGGGGCCTGGGCGGTTGAGGGGTTTAGGGGAAAGCAGTCATGAGCGTCATGACCTAAAAACCCAGCTAGAGTCTAGCTGCCAGATTCACCATAAACCTACTCAGTTCGGGTGTAGAGAGGGATTCGGGGCTCAGGGCGCGTAGGGGATGTACGCGAAGTGCCCGATCTCGAGACAGCTGTTCAAGGAGTCCCTGGTTAAAATGTTTCATACTCCCCTAGGCTCCCTCCATTATTAAGGCTTATGAAGGGAGAATTAATTAAAATTAAGCCTAATTAAGGTTATGTAAGGGGAGAACCCCCGGAGGCAAAGCTGTAGTGTAGAGGAACTGCCAAGCAGCCACGTGCAGCAACCAGCGGCAAGACTCATCACGCCCGCGTGTTGAGACAGGTCCTCACAATACGTGCTGGTGTAGCCGGTGAAGCCAGGCTGTTGGAAGTGGTCCCAAGTCGCTGCTACTCGTAATTAAGGCACCGCTTGTGCACCAATCAAGCGTAACGAGCACGAGAGACCTTAAGTGTCCAAAGCATGGCGCGCGCTGAGCTTCGCCAAGGGCGTGTTCGAGCTGCATTGACACACCAGGGGTCGTATAGAGGGGGGTAGTAGGGTAACCCATGCTTCAGTGGGGCGCAAGGGAACCTCGCAATGAAAAAAGGCAGAAGGGGTGCCACTGGATCTCCAAGGGAACTATCTGACTCCTCCTGGGCTTAACTCAAACCTGGGAGGTAAAACAAAAGATTCGCTCGGATACCATGAGGGTGGCAACTGTCCTTGTCGCGTTGAAACACCCGAAAACATCCGGGAAATTTGGTGGTTTACGAGAATAAGGGACCCCTCAATTCAGACCCCAAGTAGTAGGATCCCCTAAACATAAGGACCCCAATAAGGTACCCCCTAATGCAAACGCCAAAGTGTCTCCAGAGCAGCGTTCGCCAGCAGAGAAGGGTATTAGTGTTGAGAGAGTTGAGTTTAGAATTTCGAGCTCCGGGAAGCTTAGGGGACGCCCTAAACCCCTAAACCCCTAAACCCCTAAACCCCTCAACCCCTCAACCCCTCAACCCCTAAACCCCTAAACCCCCAAACCCCTAAACCCCTAGACCCCTAAACCCCTAGACCCCTAAACCCTAATCTCTATACACCCTAAACCCCTAAACACCCACCCCTAAACCCCAAACCCTAAACCCTATACACCCTAAACCCCTCCTCCAAAGTCTGCACCCGGCGCTCCAGGTCAAGGCTGATCTGCTCCTTATGCTCTTAAAAGGAACTGAGGGCCTCCCATGGGGTTTAGGGTTTAGGGTTTAGGGTTTAGGGTTTAGGGTTTAGGGTTTAGGGTTTAGGGTTTGGGGTTTAGGGTTTAGGGTTTAGGGTTTAGGGTTTAGGGTTTAGGGTTTAGGGTTATGGGGTTGGGGCTTTGTGAGGGGTCCGAGGGTAGATACCGTGGAGCTTAGGAGGGGCTTTAAGGGCTGAAGAGTTCGGCAGTTCGCGTGGTTTCGGAGGAAGAGGGTGGACAATCCTGTTGCGGTGATACGCAGTTCACCGCCGCTAAAGCAATAGGAATGCACGCACCAATTTCACGTCGTAAGACCTCGGGCTTTAAACCCAAAGACTTGAACCTAAACCTTTGAACCCCTAAACCCCTGAACCACTGAACCCTAAACCCCAAACCCCTAAGCCCCTAAACCCCTGAACCCTATCCCTAAACCCCCAAACCCTGAATCACACTTTATCACCTTCGCCATCGGAACCTCTTTAAGGGCCAAGTATATACTTCATAGGACAGGTATCCTAGGTAAACCCCAAACCCTGAACCCCCACACCTTTTATAGCCCTAAACCCTAAACCCTAAACCCTAAACCCCACACCTTATGCTTTGGGGAGGCCCGCGTCCTCGGCCAACAGCTGCTGCTCCAGGCGTATGAGCCTCTCAGCCGGGGCTCGTGGAGGCCCAGAGAGCCCAATACTATTTGGGCTTAGGGTTTAGGGTTTAGGATTTTAGGGTTTAGGGTAACCCTAAACCCTGAACCACAGGCGCGCATTTTCAAGAAGGTGCCCACATTTCACGATAAAACATCCCGATATTGACGTGAACACTTGCAAGCGCCGCTTAAATCGGAACTCACTGCTGCGCCTGCCGTGCGCGGGCAGGTTCACCAACGGTATTGCATACTCTCGCTTGTGATCTTTACCTTCGCTTCTTTCTCTACTCCATACACCAAAGTCTTCGATAGGTTTCTCACTGTTTGTACCCATCTTTCAACTTGTGCTCCTTGGTGTGTGTCTGGTGCAACATCTTGAATCTCTGTCTCAAGCTTCTGCATTTTCCTTATCGTCTGCACCTTCTTTCTCAACGCAATCATCGCTGGTTCGGTGTCCGTTCTCAGGATCACTTTCGGCTGCATTAGCATCAGTACTCTACAAACTTCTTCCACCAGATAGCTTGTCACTTCCTCGCTCTGGACTGGAATTGCATGGACAAACTTTGTCTCTTGGTCCACCATGACCAAACTTATGCACCATGCATCTTTCACGTCTCTTAGGTAACCTACCTTGTAAGGTAGGTTTTGGGGTTCTTAAGGTTCCCTTAAGAAGCCCAGAAGCTGAGCTGAGATGCGGTCGGGGGTGCTCAAGGAGGCGATACGTTGAGTTGTTTTTTGTGGGGGTTTGGGGTTCAGTGTTTTAGGGTTGTTTAGGGTTACCCGAAACCCTTTGTGGGGAACCTATACAAGAAGTAGGTTTTGGGCTCTTAAAGTAGGGTACTGGCCAGTTTAGTGATCATTAGGTTCTTAAGGAAGGGGGGGGGGGGGGGGCGGTTCTTGGGCCTGCTTGTCCATCGCTGCAATTCACACATTGACGGGAACACGATGACAGTGGCGAGGTGAAGCGCGAGAAAGACCAATACACCAGGGAGTGCTCTCCTACGAACCGTTGGCCCCATGGGTCCTGGACTTTGCCAAGGTTGAGAAGCCAGTCGTGATCAATCGGCACAGCAAGAATCCCTTCGCGCCACCTGCAAGGCTCCCTGCAGGTAGCTTACCGATGCCTTGAGCTGGATCCGCTCTCTTTTGTTTGCCGTCAACCATCTGCACTGCGCTTTGCAGCTGCTCCTAAACATTGGTCCTGCGTCGCGGGTCCGAGCGGCCAATCGGCTTTGGAATGTCTGTCGGAGCTCGGCAGGCAGCGAGGTGTTGCCATTCCTAAACCCTAAACCCGCCCAGAGGCACGCGGGTAGTGGCCTACGACCGCCTGGGCGTCTTCTCCTCCCCGCGTCTGTGGCGCCTCATCCGACACATCTATTTATGCCTCTTACAACGGCCCCCCAGCCCCCAAGACAAAAGCAAGGACCTAAACCCCTTCAACCACCTAAACTCAGGGTTCAGGACAGGGGACGCTATGTGCTGGGTGCTTAGATGAGCGTGGGGATCTTAGCTAGCAGGGATTTCCTTTGAAGAGGGTTTCGGGTTTGGGGTTTCAGGAGGCCTTAGGTTGCACCACGCTCGGCATGATGGGACGCATGCACGAAATTTGCGAGCCGGCGTTCTTGCGACGATGGGGGTTTAGGGTTTAAGGTTCAGGGTTCCGGGTTTAGGGTTCTTGCGGCAAGCTACCAGAAGGTGTAGGGGGGGGCGAGGGGGCAAGCTGGTCACCTGATTCCTGTATTGCTGTATTGTAGTGGTGATGTGGCATTTCTCCCAATAAGGCCGCCCCTTACCCCCAAATTCAAGAATCCTGATTATTCGAACCCCCGACATGAGTACAGCCCTGATTGGGGAAACCCCTCATGGACCCCAAACCCTAAACCCTAAACCCTAAACTCTAAACCCTGAACCCTAAACCCTAAACCCTGAACCCTAAACCCTAAACCTAAACCCTAAACCCAGATTGGCGCAGCGCAAGTCTGAAGGCTCACATACGTCGGACCATCCCCCGCTGACTTGCATGAAAATCTCCGCCCAGGAAACATGAAGCTGGCGACTGAGAAAAAAAAAACGCCACAAACCACAAGCCCACAACACAAACCCCATAAGCCCGACAAACAACCCCACAAAAAGCCCTCTTCAAAAGAGTCGTCTGAGAGTGGGGGCTGCGTGGGGCTGATTGGGCTCTAGCCCGGCCCATGTCGGGCCTCAACCCCAAACCGGGCCCAAACCCCCAAAAGGCCAAACCCAAAACCCACCCCACACACACACACACACACACACACACACACACACACACACACACACACACACACACACACACACACACACACACACACACACACACACACACACCACAAACAAAAAATACATATGCATGTATTTACATATATGTATATATACATATATATATATACATTACTAGAACCTTTCATGTACAAAAAAAACAAAAACGAAACCTGTAAAGCCTAAATTTGCCCAAGCTCTAAAACCCCAAGAACCCCCCCCCCCCCCTTCCCCAAAAAAACCCAAAAGTATAGAAAAAAATAGTAGTCTACCAATTCTTTTCTTTGATATACTGGAAACCTCTAAACCTAAACCCTAAACCCTAAACCTGAACCCTAATCCTAAACCCTAAACCCTTAACCCTTAACCCTTAAACCCTAAACCCCTTAAACAAAAAAAAAAGCATGCCCCCAAAGAGCCCTGCCTTCCATTCTGCTCCGCCTGCTCGAACTCCACTTCCGACTGCTCCTGGGCGGAAGAGACCTGGTACCTGCTCTTCTGGCGCTTTCGGGTAGATAGGGTAGATGGGCTGTATAGGGGTATAAGGGCATATGGCGCTTTAGGATATATGTAGGGTAGATGGGCTGTATAGGGGTATATAGGGCATATGGCGCTTTAGGATATATGTAGGGTAGATGGGCTGTCTAGGGGTATATAGGGCATGTGGGGCATATAGGGTGTATAGGGAATAAATGGGGTATATAGGGTATAGGGTATACAAGGTATACAGGGTATATAGGGTATATAAGGAAAAAAAGGGTATATAATATAGGGAATATAGGGAATATAGGGAATATAGGGAATATAGGGTATATAGGGTAGATAGGGTATATAGGGTGTGTGTAGGGTATATAGGGTTTAAGGTTTAGGGTTTAGGGCTTGGGGTGTAGGGTTGAGGGTTTAGGGTTTCGGGTTGTGGGTCTACAGTCATGACCATTGCTGGTGGTCTGGGGTCTAGGGGTTTAGGGGGGGGGGGGCTTAGGGTTTACAGGGTTTCGGTTGAGACCTTATAGTCCTTAAGGTTTAGGGTTTAGGGTTTGGGGTGTGGGGTGTTAGGGTTTTAGGGCTTAGGGTTCAGAACTTCCACAATTCCGGAACCAACTCTTGGGCGGAGCACTCGCGCAGCTCGGCAAGCAGGTGCAGCAGCCGCCTTGTGGCCACGCAGGTGGGGAAAAGGCTTGGCGCTGGCAGCAATATGAAGGGTTCAGGGTTTGAGGTTTGTAGGGTTTAGACTTTCTAGGGTCTTTTGGGTTTATGGGGTTTAGGGTCTATCGAGTCTTAGGGTTTACAGGGTTTGTAGGGTTTATAAGAGGGTCTTTAGGGTTTGTAGGGTTTTGGGTCTATAGTATTTATAGGTTCTATGGGGTTTGGGGTATATAGGGTTTACGGTTTCATAGGGGGCGGAGAACCAAATACACCCTCCGGTTACCCCAAACCCTAAACCGGCGGAGGGTTTTTTTTTTTGCAAAGGTGTGGCTCGGCCCTGTCCTCTTGCAAAGGTGTGGCTCGGTAACCCCCTTCCCCTCCACTCCCACCCACCCCCCCCCCCCCCCCCCACCCCCCCCCCACCCCCCCACCCCCCCCCCCCCCCCCACCCCCCCCCCCCACCCCCCACCCCCCCCCACCCCCCCCCCCCCCACCCCCCCCCACCCCCCCCCCCCCCCCCCCACCCCCCCCCCCCCCCCGCCCCCCCCTACCCCCCTCCCCCCCACCCCCCACTCTCACCACCCCGACTCCGCCCCCCCCTTATTTGCAAACCCAAAGCTTGCCTTTAGGTTTCAAACAAACTCATATGCTTTGAAACAAGCTTGCACGGCTTTAAGAAGCGGGGGGGTTGGGGGGGGCGCAGCCCCCCCCCATTTGAAAACTCAATGCTTGCATCATGGGTTTCAAAAAGACTCTTATGCTTTGATGCAAGCTTGCACGGCTTAAAAAAGCGGGGGGGTTGGGGGGGGGCGCAGCCCCCCGCCATTTGCAAACTCAATGCTTGCATCATGGGTTTCAACAACGGGGGGGCCATTTGCAAACTCAATGCTTGCATCATGGGTTTCAACAAGACTCATATGCTTTGACGCAAGCTTGCACGGCTTAAAAAAGCGGGGGGGTTGGGGGGGGCGCAGCCCCCCCCATTTGCAAACTCAATGCTTGCATCATGGGTTGCAAAAAGATTCTTATGATTTTGAAGCAAGCTTTGCACGGCTCAAAAAAGCGGGGGGGTTGGGGGGGGCGCAGCCCCCCCCATTTGCAAACTCAATGCTTGCATGCTGCAATGCTTGCCTGTAGGTTTCAAAAAGATTCATATGCTTTGAAACAAGCTTGCACGGCTTTAAGAAGCGGGGGGGTTGGGGGGGCGCAGCCCCTTCCCCCATTTGCAAACTCAATGCTTGCATCATGGGTTTCAACAAAATTCTTATGCTTTGACGCAAGCTTGCACGGCTTAAAAAAGCGGGGGGGTTGGGGGGGGCGCAGCCCCCCCCATTTGCAAACTCAATGCTTGCATCATGGGTTTCAACAAGACTCATATGCTTTGACGCAAGCTTGCACGGCTCAAAAAAAGCGGGGGGGTTGGGGGGGGCGCAGCCCCCCCCCATTTGCAAACTCAATGCTTGCATCATGGGTTTCAACAAGACTCATATGCTTTGACGCAAGCTTGCACGGCTCAAAAAAAGCGGGGGGGTTGGGGGGGGGCGCAGCCCCCCCCATTTGCAAACTCAATGCTTGCATCATGGGTTTCAACAAGACTCATATGCATTGACGCAAGCTTGCACGGCTTAAAAAAGAAGGGGGGTTGGGGGGGGCGCAGCCATTTGGAAACTCAATGCTTGCCACGTATTTCTACCAGCACATCGCGGTAAAAAGAATCTTTGCGACTGGGGAGAACAGGGAAATCAAAACGAAGTCGGCTTCCAAGCCAGGCCAAGCCGAGCCAAGCCACGCCGAGCCAAGCCAAGCCAAGCCAGGCCAAGCCAAGCCAAGCCGAGCCCACCCGAGCCAAGCCAAGCCAAGGAGCCAAGCCAACCAAAGCCAAGCCAAGCCGAGCCAAGCCAAGCCAGAGGATAAGCCGAGCCAAGCCAAGCCAAGCCAAGCCCAGCCGAGCCAAGCCAAGCCAAGCCGAGCCAAGCCAACCAAAGCCAAGCCAAGCCAACCAAAGCCAAGCCAAGCCAGGTCAGAGGACACGCCCAGCCAAGCCAAGCCAAGCCAAGCCACACCTTTGCAAGGGGACAGGGCCGAGCCACACCTTTGCAAAAAAAAACCCGGACCCCCCTAAACCCTAAACCCTAAACCCTGAATAAGGCTTTTGGGCTCAAGCCAGTGGGCTGAGGCCAAGGCGTCATCGACGGCTGCATGGAGTTCGCGGAATCACCGGGCCCATCTGGCAACCACTTCTTTCGGGGCTTCGGGGGTTTTGGGGATTTAGGGTTTTATTGGGGCTGGAGGTTTAGGGTTTAGGGTTTAGGGTTTAGGGTTTAGGGTTTAGGGTTTAGGGTTTAGGGTTTAGGGTTTAGGGTTTGAGATGGGCTGAAGCGGGTGCAGTGGCCTTAAGCCCCAAAAACCTTTCTTTGGATTCAGGGCTTAGGGTTTAGGGAGGAGGGCTCCGACTCCTGCACTGCGCAAACTTTAGGTTGTGAGGGTTCAGTTCAGCGCTTAGGCTTCTACCCTAGGGAAGCCTAGCTTCTGATGACATCAAAGCTCCTAAGCCGAAAACCCATCTACATCCCTAAGCCCCCTAAACCCTAAGCCCACTAAACCCTAAACCCTAAACCCTAAACCCTAAACCCTAAACCCCAAATTGAAACCCATCTAAACTCCTAACGCCTCTTCACACCCCTCTAGACCCGAAACCTTGAAACTTCCTTGGGGACCAAATGAACCTTAAGACTGGGGTCATGTATCCCATACTACTGGAATTCCTATTAAGGTATACGAACCACAAACCCTAAAAAAAACCCGAAACCCAAACCCTAAACCCTAAACCCTAAACCCCAAACCCTAAACCCTAAACGTCCCCAAGGTGATCGCCCCCCCCCCCCCCCCCACACACAAAGTTGCCCGCCTCGCTCTCCGGGGGGCGGAGGCGCGGCGGCCGCAGCCGACGCCTCAGGAGGGTTTTAGGGTTTAGGGTTTAGGGTTTTGGGGTTTAGGGTTTAGGGTTTAGGGTTTAGGGTTTAGGGTTTAGGGTCTAGAGCATTTCAGGGTTTCAGGGTTTTGGGTGCTTCCGGCTTTGTTGGGCGTCTTAAGGCTAAGGGCTTTAGGGCGTTTTAGGGCTCAGGGCGGTTTGGCCAGGGTCTAGGCTTCACGGTGCGTCGGCCAGCTGAACGCAGCTGTGTGAAGACACGCCCACCCCAAGCCAAAGCCAGAGCCAAACCAAGACCGCACATCGCGCTACGAAGCCCGGGAGGCTTGTGACACTTCGGGGTTTCCGAAAATCGGGGTACCCTTTTTGAGGGTACCTTTTTAAGGGGATTCATGTTTCGGATACAAACGGGGTACCCCTTTGTTGGGAAGTACCCATTTGGGATGCATGGAACCGCCAAAAGGACAAAGGTTGCTGTGGTACGTCTGCCTTAAGGACGTTTAGGGCTCAGGGGGTAGGGCTTCGGGTTGAGCAGTTCATGAGCTGCCGAACTTTGGGGGCAAAAACCGAAACCCACCCAACTCGGGTTTGGGGTTTAGGGTCCAGGGCTTAGAGTGTCAAACTTGATATTCGGGGTATAGGGCCTCGACTGGCTCGAGGGGCTCTGCCTGAACACCCCAACCCCTAAACCCTAAACCCTGAACCCTAAACCCTAAACCCTAATCCCTAATCCCTAAACCGACTTGCCAGGCACCCGGGCCGTCGCTGAGCCGGCCGCGGGAGGAGCAACATCCGTCATTGTTACCTATGCTTGGTAGCCCAGTAACCATAGGGTTTAGGGTTTAGGGTTTAGGGTCTAGTGTTTAGGGTTTAGGGTTTAGGGTTTAGGTCACTTTATAGAGGGAATCTTGAACCAAAAAGAGGGGAAAGGGTGCCACTGGGCTACCAAGTATGCGACTACGACTTCCATGGTTGCAAGTGCTACTACTGTCATTGCTGTTGCTGCTGCTGTTGCGATGATGAGGTGAGCCGGGAGTGGTGATTTTCGGGCTTCGCGGCTTCCGGTCGAGGCTTCAGGGCCTATGAGCCCGTGTCCAAGCTCGCAAAGCCATGTTTAGGGGGTTTGGGGTTTAGGGTTCAGGGTTTAGGGTTCAGGGTTTAGGGTTTAGGGTTTAGGGTTTAGGGTGCATCACTCACTCTCGACCCTGGTGGGCACGAGCTAAAACGGCCACGGCATTCGCGTTGGGGCTAAGATTCAGGTTGTGAGCTCCAGCTCACCTTATGGCGCCACTGAGTGTGGGATTGCGAACTTTCAGAAGCTCTGGCACGGGACATCCCAAAAGCCTACGCCCGAATCCTGGAGCTCAAACCCCCACGCCCGCAAGACGCGAGCGCCGAGTCTACTACTGATGATAAGAGGCATATGCCTAAACCCGAAAACCCCAAAAAGCATGCGGTCCTTCAGCTTAACTTGAAACCGGACATCTTAAACCCTAAGCCCTAAACCCTGAACCCTAGGCCCTCCTATTTTGGGAACCCCAAAGTTCTACCCGACGACTTTGGGTCACGGATGCTTTGGGGAACGGCCAACTATCCCAACGGCCTGCGTAGTTGCTATGAAGCAAAGTCTACTTGGAGGTTTAGGGTTTAGGGTTTAGGGTTTAGGGTTTAGGGTTTAGGGTTTAGGGTTTAGGGTTTAGGGTTTAGGGTTTAGGGTTTAGGGTTTAGGGTTTAGGGTTTAGGGTTTAGGGTTTAGGGTTTAGGGGCACCCATTAAGCCCAGATATCACTGCACTTATGAGCCCGGCTAAGTCCTCCAAGTAGGTTCTATATTGCAAGGAAGAAGGCTTCGAACTCCCAAGGAAGTGGTGGCTCTTCACACTTCAGGGTTTAGGGTTTAGGGTTTAGGGTTTAGGGTTTAGGGTTTAGGGTTTAGGGTTTAGGGTTTAGGGTTTAGGGTTTAGGGTTTAGGGTTTAGGGTTTAGGGTTTACCCTTTGGCGTGGAGGGCTTGCCGTTTACGGTGCAAGGTCTTAGCTTTAGGGCTTATAGGGTTTGGCATCCCTTAAAAATGTACGGAAAGATGAAAGGAGCGTTGGGGGCCCCATTTAGGGGACTGCTTCCAACGAAGGCCTCGAAGAAAAGCAGGGCTTCCACAAGGACTTTCAACGCTCAGCCCTACATCCAAGTACACAAAGTTCGCAAGCCCCTCCCAACTCTCTTGGCCCAACCCTAAACCCTAAACCCTAAACCCTAAACCCTAAACCTCGCACGGCCTTGAGGATGGTAGTGGTGTAGGGTGGGGGTCGAGAGGTTTCGGGGTTTAGGGTTTAGGGCTCAGGGGTGTGCAGGGGTTTCGGGTTCAGGGGTGTAGGGTTCAGGGTTTAGGGTTCAGGGGATTAGGGTTCAAGGGTCTAGGGTTTAGGGTTTTAGGGTTCAAGGCTTTAGGCTTTAGGGCTTCAGCTCGCAAACTTGTTTGGATGCTCGTCGCGGATTGCTCCCCAAGCGTCGGCGCGACTATGCGGATCATTCGGGCATCCTGGCCGCGCGCCGCGTCGAAGCGGGGGTTTAGGGTTTAGGGTTTGGGGTTTGGGGTTTGGGGTTTGGGGTTTGGGGTTTAGGGTTTAGGGTTTAGGGTTTAGGGTTTAGGGTTTAGGGCCAACACATTTCAAGCTTAGGTTGTCGCAGGCTTTGGGGGTCACGGTTCGTTCAAATGCTTGTCCTGGCACTTGAACCCTAAACCCTAAACCCTAAACCCTAAACCCTAAACCCTAAACCCTAAACCCTAAACCCTAAACCTGTGCAGGCCTCTGAGGTGGGGAGGTGCAAACCTATCACGTTTAGATCAAGGGCAGTTCTCTGAATTAGGGCCTTTTGGGGTCCTTCTCTAGACCCAAGAGCAACGTAGGGGTTTAGGGTTTAGGGTTTAGGGTTTAGGGTTTAGGGTTTAGGTTTAGGGTTTAGGGTTTAGGGTTTAGGGTTTAGGGCTTAGGGCTTAGGGCTTAGGGCTTAGGGTTCAGGCCTGACTAACAAGTAACCTAGGAATTTAAAAAAAGGATGCCCTTCTTGGTTTGAAGGGGCTTCTAGAGGGAACCTATATAGATCCCAAAAAAGGACACAAGGGCCTACTCGGTCCGAGTTCTTGTAAGGCCCGAATGGACTTGTGCAGGCCCTCCACCGTGGCCGGAAAGACTCCTCTGCTACTATAGGCTATAGGGGCCTGAATGATTAAAAAAAAGGGCTTTGGGGGATGTTATCGTAAAAATTATAAAGGGGCCCTCAGGGAACAATAATACAAATTGTTCCGACCCCTGTAATATTCTTTGGCTTCAAGGTTCGGGTTCAAGCTTCAGGGCTGGGTTTGGGGCTTTGGGTTTTAGGGGTTTAGGGGTTTAGGGCTTTGGGCTTTGAGGCTTTAGGGCTTTAGGGCTTTAGGGCTTTAGGGCTGTAGGGCGTAGGGGCTTAGGGTTTAAGGGGTTTTGGGTTTAGGGTTTGGGCCTCATGGTCGGTTGCGTGGAAGAATCTGTGCGCCTCTTCTTTCGGGCTTTCCCCCAGTAGCCGCTTCACCTGCGGCTTCAGGGTGGAAGTTGAGCTTGGGGTCTGCGGCTTCTGGCCTTGGGCCTCGGGTGATATGCAAGGGGGGGGGGGGGAAACCCTAAACAACCCTAAACCCTGAACCCTGAACCCTGAACCCTGAACCCTGAACCCTGAACCCTAAACCCCAACCCCAAACCCCAAACCCTAGAGAGGTCTAGGCTTCGAGGGAGGGGTTCGGGGATTCCGCGATCGATGCAAGACACGGAACACCAGCCCTAAACCCTAAACCCCTAAACCCTAAACCTGAAACCCTAAACCCTAAACCCTAAACCCCTAAACCCTAAACCTCAAACCCATCTACGAGCATCACGGTTTCGGGTGGATGTCGTTTCCCACAGACCTTTGTATCTACACCATGGGCAGATCCTTGCAGATCCGGGCTGGGTACACACCCTAAAGCCTAAACCTTAAACCCTGAATGTAAGGCTCCGTTCTACGACAGGAATCTCAAAGGGGCTCATATTTCACCATCCGCAAAAACCGGCTCCGCTGAATGGGTGTCACAAGTGCCTGTGGGGTCTGGGGCTTGGGGCTCAGGGCCTAGCCCTAAACCCTAAACCCTAAACCCAGACCCTGAACCCTAAACCCTACACCCTGAACCATGAACCCTAAAGCCTAAAGCCTAAACCCTAAACCCTAAAGCCTAAAGCCTAAACCCTAAACCCTAAACCCTCAACCCAAAACCCTAAACTAAACCCTAAGCCCTAAACCCTAATGCCCACTTGGGGCTTCGTCGCAAGTGCCTCGCCATGTGCTGCAAGCACAGCTGCTTCTGCCAGCTGTTGCGCCTTCGTGGCTTCAAGGATGAAAGGCCAAGGATGCGTGGGGCTGTAGGGTTTAGGGTTGAGGGCTTAGGGTTTAGGGTTAGGGTTTAGGGTTTAGGGTTTAGGGTTTAGGGTTTAGGGTTTAGGGTTTAGGGTTTAGGGTTTAGGGTTTAGGGTTTAGGGTTTAGGGTTTAGGGTTTAGGGTTTGGGCTTTAGGGTTCAGGGTTTAGGGCTTAGGGCTTAGGGTTCTCTAGACCCAAGAGCAACGCAGGGTCTAGGGTTTGCGGTTTAGGGTTTAGGGTCTAGGGGTCTAGGGTGTAGGGCGGGGCGTAGACCCCCTGAACCCTCAACAAAACCCTAGACCCTAAACCCTAAACCCTAAACCCGAAACCCTAAACCCTAAACCCCCTGAGGCACCAATCCGATCCCAAAACCCCGAACCCTCAACCCTGTGCGGATCGGCTCAGGGCCTGCAAGATCAGGGTTTAGGGCTTAGGGCTTAGGGCTTAGGGTTTAGGGTTTAGGGTTTAGGGTTTAGGGTTTAGGGTTTAGGGTTTAGGGTTAGGGTTCAGGGTTCAGGGTTTAAGGTTGAGGGTGAGGTGGGTGGCGGTCAATTGGGGTTTAGGGTTTCGGCAGAAATCCGAAAGCCCTGAACCCCTTGTTAGGCTGGGCTTGGTACCATAGGACACCAAAACCTCGTTCCGGCCTAAACGACTTTAGACTGCGGAGTGTTTGGGGTTTATGCTCAACCCACGCCATGTCACGTCGTCCCCAAGGATGAAAAAGAGCGGTCTAGCTCTTGCAAGCGCGAGAAGCTCATGCGCTGGGTTTCGAAGCAACCGAAGCCCTATGCCCCACATCCTAACCCGCAGGACCCAAACCCTAAAGACCCCAAAACAAGCAGAGGCTCAATAAACCCGACCTCCTCGACGGCGGCAGTGGCCTGCGTCTCCAGATCTTTCGCCTTCACCGGTTCGAGGGTTTATAGCTTACGGTTGAGATTAGAGCTTTCAATACGAGGCGGACATGGGTTTGCAGAGTTGAGGGATTTAAGGCTTTGAGGCTTGAAAGCTTCCGGGTAGGGCGCTGAGCCCAGTTCTGCGACCCTTTGTGTCTTGACGTTCTAGGAGCATGTTCCTCATACAAGGGCTCAGGCTGCTGAACACAAGGCCCATTGATGCATCATAACCGCTACAACACCCGAGCTTTCAACCCTGGTTTACGGTTTAGAAGCCTAGGGTTTCGGGATTTGGGCTTAGGCCCATACAGCTTCGCACTTACTTGCGGCGGTTGAGGCTTCTATGGATCAAGGCTCGGGGCCTAGCAGTTGCTGTTTTTGATTAGGGCTCAATTCAGGGATCTGGCTTGTTTATGGTTTGTAATTTAGGATGTTCCCCCTTCTACTAACGGTCCTGAAGAGGGACCCTACTATCAGGGGGAA